AAAGTATATTGCTAAAATTAATTGTTAAAATTTTATTATAAAAATTAATTTTAAAAAAATTAATGCAAGCAAATTTGTTTGTGTTACAATCTAAGGGATATGTACAGTGCTAAAAAAAGTATAATTGGTTATGCTTTATGAAAAATATAATCAATCACATTTTAATTTACATTAAAAATTATTAACTAATAAATATAATAAATGATAATATTTTCTGTAAAGCATATTAAATTATACTTTTTTTAGCACTATATGTATAACTAGATTTTTTACTAATATTAATAATTAAAATATATATATATATAATGAATCTTTGTAATTAAGTTTTAGCTCTGCTATTGCTATTGTATTTAACAACCTATTTAGGGCTATTATCAACTAATCTGAGTTTTTTTTTTAGCTTCAAAGTTTTATAAAGTTATAACTTTTTTCTATAATTTCAACTTATCATTATATATAACCAAATCCAAGCCAAAAAAAAGCTGAATAAGTTGGTAACAGTCTTAATTCTTTTCTTATTTTTAAGATTTTGAGTAATTTACAGCCTATCTTTCTTTTTTTGTAACTATTTTAAACTTTTAGCTTAAATTTTGACTACTAGTTTTATTTGATTGTTTATTAACTTATGCTTTTTCTCAATGAATTTGCCAAAGGTGTTCAATATATTAAATAAGTTTTAGCAAAAAATAGTAATTAGCAAACAGAAGTATTTTTACACAGAACTGAAATATATATAACTTACAAATTTTGTATTTAATAATGATAAAAAATGAAAAATTCAAATACTATTAAATATATATGTAACAAGAATTTGAGTCAGTATATTGCTGATAAAGCTTTTGATTCTCTAAAATAATAAGTAAATAAATAGAATGAATAAATAAAATAAATTAATATATATACTAAATGTTTGTCAGTTATTAATAAAATGATTGGCTATTTATTGTTAGTTGCAGAATTACTTTTAAATTAGTATTAAAGCATGTTTATAATGTTTTTTTATTATTAGAAATTTAACTATTTTCTTCTTTTTTATAATGCCACATAAAGGTAAACAAGTTGCCCAACCTACTACTACAAATCCTTTTATGATTGCAGCACAGACAAAAAAAATGATATATATATATATTAACAAATAGTGAAGATAAAGAAAATACTATGAATACTACAAGTTCTCTAAATAATAATTATGAAAATTCTCAATCTAAATTATTATATTTATTAAAAGAAAACCTTAAATTTAATTAAACTTGGTTGATTACATATCTTTGATTATGTATTGAAGAAAAAGAAAATAAAAAATTCATGTTTTGTAAATAGTGTAAAGCTGCTAAATATACAAATATATTTGTAGCAAAATGTGACAACTTTAAAGAACAATCACTCAAATGGCATCTTGATATTAAAGATTATCAGAAAACTTTAAAAACATGATTAGTAACACAATTAAACATACTTACTAGTTTTACAAAACAGTTTGGAATTGACAAACTTTATATTATATTAAATATGATTAATATGTATTAGTTAATTCAACATAATATAGCTACATATTTAATTACTGATCTTTATAGTCTTATCAATCAACAACTTCAAAATGCTCAAGAATTTCATATATCATTAAATATTAATGTTTTAAAAAATCCTTTGGCATTACAAACTATAGAATTAACAAGAAGTGATTATGGTTCTTATACTAATAATCATGTTAGAAGAGACTTTATTAAAGTGATTGAAAAAGTAATTGAAGAAGAGATTTGTTATGAGATTTGTAAATCATTAGTATAAAGTTTAATGATTAATAAAAGCAATACAGTTACTAAAAAAAAACCTTAGCTATTGTATCCAAACATATTGTTTCTAATATTCCAGTAAACTGATTTGTTAAATTAATTGAATTAAAAGGTTGTAATGCTAATAGAATTATAGAAGAATTAAATAAATTTTTTAAAGTCAAAAATCTTTCAATCTTAATATTAAATCATTTTAGTAGTAATGAAGCATTAGTTATGCTAGGTAATTAATATATTCTATTTGGTTTTATGTTTTAAAAAGTTTAAATTAAATTAAATTATATTAAATAGATTATTTAAATGGTATTGCAATACAATTAAAAAGTTAAAGCCTATTTCTTACAGAACATTATTGTATCTTACACTGTCTGGCTTTTGCATATAAAGATGTTGCTGAAATAATTTTATATATGTATACATACAACAAACTTGTTAAAAATCTTTATACTTATTTTAGTTGCTCTTATGATCAAATGAAAACTTTAAAAATAGTAAAAAAACAATTAAATGATTCTAATTTGCACTTACTGTATATTATCAAAACACATTGGTTTTCTTTATCAAATGTTATATCAAATTTACATTATATATTAGATTTAGTTATTGATGCTTTATCTTTAAATTCTAATATTGACAAAGTAGCACAATCATTATTTGATTTTATTGATCAAACATTTTATATAACAATATACTTTTTAGCAAATATTCTTGAAAATTTATAACAATTAATGTTAAGTTTTCAATCAGATCATATTTCTCTTATAGAGATTAAAATACAAATGGCAACTATTATTTAAACAATTACTGAAAGTTTTATTGAGACTGATAATTCTTTGCCAACTTGAAGCTATCATTTGCACATATATCTTCAAACTAGAAATTTTATTTCAGAAAATGTTTCTAATTTTATACAACAATTTGCAATTGCTACAATTAAAAATCTTAATAGACAGGGGTATGATAACCTAGTGAAGTGGATAGGTTGTCAACCTCCAAGTGGCAGGTCTAGAGTTCAAATTCTAGTGACAGTGAAAATTTGCAATTCTTTCTGTATTATGGCTAACTGTCT